AGACTTTCAATAACACCAGGCAGGGGCCATATCTTGTTTTCCACTGTGTGGTTGTTCCCTGGCCTCACATATGGCACAAGGAAGGCCCTCCTTTTTATTCTAGCTCCATATGACAACCTTGCCAGAGGGCAAAGGTAACTACCAAGACAGTTTATATTTAACCAAACAAGGCTTGTTGTAGAGGAGAAAGAGTTAGGAAAAGAAATAATGAGCATTCTTAACTTGTTGGGAGAGTGTAGCACTTTGCAAGATTTGACTGTAAGTGTTCACTGTGAAAATAATCTTCAAGTGTATTTTAGCCAGCCAAAGGCTCTAGCAAATTATTTTTCACAAACCAGTGAGTATACATTTGCATGTACTTTCACTGTGCATCTTAGTCTTTAAAGAGATTGATGTTTTAGAAAGTTTAAAAGTAAGTTTTCACCCTCACGAAGGAACTTTCACAATACAAATGATTTGGGAGTAGCAGGTATGCTGACAACTGATGTTAGGAGGGCCAACCACTGTTCCATTTTCTCCCAGGTTTGATGACCAGGATTTCTTCTGGGGGTTGAATCCTGGCTTGGTGCCAAACAAGGGTCTACAGGCTCTCAAAGCCTGTATAAAATAGGAGTATGACAAAGATTCACTCAGAAGGAAACAATCCGTGAGAGTGGGCAGGAGTACAGATCTCGTGGACTAGGTCACCCTCCATGTGCTCCTGGACAGCTTGTCAGGGAGGCAAAGAAAAGTAATGGAAGAAGAAGCAGAAAGGGACGATAAGGACACTGGTAGAAAATAACAGGACACTGAACAGATACAGCAGCAGGAGTTTGAACAATGAAGGCTAAAATGTAGCCTTTCAAAGGTTTGTAATTCAGCCTGTGGCAGAGAGTAGAATATGCATAAAATGTACTTTTCATGTAGTGCAGTGGTGGCATTGGATTATGTCATGAAGAAGATCTGATTTTTATAGTCCTCTGACTTTCTAGAGAAGTAAATTTGAATTCGGAATATTAGAAACACACACAGGTAGGCCAATACTAAGAATGAGAGCAAACTTGGATACAGACAGAATTCTGATACAGATATAATAATTTCACAATATCCAGGAGAGTGTCCCAACTCTTTGTTTATTGTAAAATTCTTTTTGACTATTAAAATTACTTGAATTCAGGGCTTAGACGTGCTTTATGTTCTGCTGAAATTTTTGCCACAATGATATTTATCTTTGTATTCTCAACAATGTCTAGCAGTGTGCTTTTTTGCACATAGAAGGCACTTAATAAACATTTGTTAAATGAATGAATAAATGATCAATATTTGTTGCATTAGGATTTGATCTGTTTCAAAATAATTTTTAAAATATTTTTTCCATTTTCCTATGTCATCCTTGTTTTCTTTCATTCACACCACAAGATGCCAGCAGAACTTCTGAAAATGGGCATCAAATATTTGTTGTGTGTGTCCGAATGTGACCACATCTGCACATCCACATGGTCTGTGTATAGAGTGGCACTTTCTTGGTCTTTCTAAGCACATCTCATCACAGGGGGAGAGTACCTAGTACACTGTCCACTATACACAGAAACCTGGTGATAGTACACAGATAGAGGGGGCTGAGTGAGGTGGAAAAATAGCATGTGATAAATGTATCATGAATTGAATGGACTCCAGTTTTGCTTGCTTTCATGATTTCTGTTTGTATTCTTGAGGCTACACATAGAAGCAGGAAGGGAGGTGGAAAGCTAGATCTCCCTAAAGGGAAGGGGTGCTTAGCTTTTATTATAAGTTAGGAATACTGGGATTTCTCAGGTTTCTATTGTGAGTGATGAAACTTTTTAGTGTTGGCAAGAAAAGAGTTAGGAAATGTACAACAAATAAAAAGTTGTGAGGATGGGATATAATTCAGAAGAAACCCAGAGAGAATCCTTGAGAGGACTCCTGTTTCCCCTATATCAGACAGCCTGGTTTTGCTATCTGACTGGGATACACAGAGGTGCCATCCAGAAATGTTCACCCAGGACCAATGGGTTTTGTCTAATCTGCATCTCACAGATTTCAGCTAACTATGTAATTATGGTTCTGTTAGGAAACCTGACACATTGTTTAGTACTCTTCGGCTAAGACTAACCTTTTATGATGAAGCAGCCATGCACTCACATACACACACAGGTTATTGTTTGTTTGTTTTTGAAGGGGAGAAGATCATGAATGACTTATAACTAATTACCTTTCAAATAATGTCTTTAACTATTTATCTTCTTGGATTTAACCACTTGTTCACTAAATAATATACTTTCTGACTTAATTTTCTCCCCAAACCAATTTATATACACAGATATAACAACACAATTCTAAATACAACAGTAAAAACTAATGCTGTAAGTACTATAAAGTACTATTTTCATCTCCCATTTATAAACCATCTAAATTCTACTTTTCTGACTAGCATCCACCGATGACAGACAATATTTCTGTAAGTCCATCTGGTCAGCAAAGGGTATCTTAAGTTTTCACCAAAATTTTAATTATGAGAGTATCGAGAATTAGGACTGGAGTTCTAACAGATTCTGCCCTTACTTCTGCTCACAGGTTTACTGTACACATCTGAAGGGATCTATGGTAAACATCAAGTCAGATATGAACCTGTGAAATATTCTGAGCCCTAGGTAGGAATTTGGGGAATAACATTTTGAACAGATGGGACACTACTGAGAAGATTGAGCTTGAATAAGTGTAACTTCTACATTAAAAGAGTCAAGTAGGCCGGGCGCGGTGGCTCAAGCCTGTAATCCCAGCACTTTGGGAGGCCGAGACGGGCGGATCATGAGGTCAGGAGATCGAGACCATCCTGGCTAACACGGTGAAACCCTGTCTCTACTAAAAAATACAAAAAAACTAGCTGGGCAAGGTGGCGGGCGCCTGTAGTCCCAGCTGCTCAGGAGGCTAAGGCAGGAGAATGGCGTGAACCTGGGAGGCGGAGCTTGCAGTGAGCTGAGATCCGGCCACTGCACTCCAGCCTGGGCGACAGAGCGAGATTCCGTCTCAAAAAAAAAAAAGAGTCAAGTATTTGGGAGGAAGTGAAAAGCAAAGCAACTCTCAAACTTATGCAAATGCAGGAAAGGCAGAAGAACAGGCAAACTGATACCCTAAAGATAGGAGAAGGGGCAAAATGAATGATCTTGCAGGGATTCTTGGCATTTGGAAAGAGTTGCAATATGAGAAAATTAGATAAAAAGGCTGAGTTTGGTAGATCACCAGAAAATTCACTTAGTAAGGGAATACATTGTATGAAATTTATGAAACCTTCTCCGTTGGACATATTTTCACCTCACCTGGAAGAAAATCTTCTGAGTGATGACCAACAGAAACCTTAATGATATTATCAATCAGTTTAGGGTTGGAGTCTAGGACTGGAGGCATGTTAAACTACCATATAGTTCCCAGCTCAGCCAATTGTAATTGTATAGGTTTCAGTTTGTGATTATGATGTCTCTAAGATGATATTTCTCATTAGTTTTATCAAATCTAACTGATTGGGATAGGTTTTCAAAGGAATATAAATGAGAAATCTTGCATTTGTGAAATCTGGTTGTGATATGTGTCCCTGGGTGTGACTGTCCTTGGAGACTTGGTACAATAGAGAGATTTTCAATAGGGAAAGCTTTTGGAAGCATGTATGAATATGGGAAACATATGATATGTCACTATGTGGGATGATAGACTGAGCTCTATCTACACAGGTTGGCAACATACCAGAGCATAACAGTATGGTATGATCTGACTCTGTGGGACTCTGTGCCCACATCTCTGCTTTGTCCCCCTCTAATAAACAATTTGTGTTCCTGAGTGTTATTTGTCCTTTTACTTACCACTCTCCACAATTCCATTTTCTCTTTTTCTCTTTTTTTTTTTTTTTTTTTTGAGGTACTCTAATTGCTCCAATTAAAGGGTTATGAATCTTAAAATATTATCTAGGAAAAACCCTAATGGCAAAGCCTAGTTTGTGAGAAGCATTATAAAAAATATTTACTTTTACCTCTTTCCACTTCAGTCTCAGGACATCCTCAGTTAAGCCTTAAAAATATTAATCAAGATTATTTGAAAGGCAAATCTGAACAATGGGTTAAGTTTAATAGGGAAATGGCATCTCAACCCATTCCTATGTGTGGAAGCCGGCCCTTGCTCCTTATGACCTCCAGGTGGTGCTGTTTACCCAGACGTGGAAAGCAGGAGCCCAGCCCCATTTCTTTCACTTAGGTTTGCAGTTGGGCTTTCATATTTTCAAAATATTTTCTGTTTCTACAGATGTATTCTTTTAAATGGTCAATAAAATTTTATAACCACTATTTGAAAAATTACAAGATTATTGTGATTTGTGCTTCCTAGCCAAGAATATATCTTTATGTCTGTACATACCCGAAGCCAAGTATTTATGTTTGTTCATTGGTCCCACTTTCTACGCTTCCTTCCTTTGTAGCATACAGGCTTAGACACAGACATTTGGGCTGTGGACAGAACTCGTCCAAGGACCTGTAAATACTTATGTAATTTTAAAATATATTTCTAGTTCAGCTATGGCAACTGAACTCCACAGGCTTCTGAGTGAAGAACACCATCTTTACAGGAATGCTTTTATCCCCCAAAGCCAATGAGCGTTCCTAGCAGACCTGACCTGATTTTTTGGCAGGGGGATGCTTGTCAGACACCAGAAATGTTTTGATGTTTTGAGGTATCCATACAGTGACACCCCCCAATCCAATCTAAATTCCTCAGAAAAGTGATCCTAGAGAAAAACTGAGAGGGAAGCATTGACAATTTCTTTCCCATTTTGATAAGACTTCGGGTCCAGAAATAGTGGAAATTCCATTACAGCAAAGATGAGACTAGGATAGGAGTGTGGTGGGATGGATTTGATCATGGATAAAGTTTGGAACGTTTAATATTGGCTTTTTACAGAATAACCAACTAACATGCTTTCTTGCCCTCTTTTTCCCCCTTTTCTTTCCTCTCACAAGGGGTTTGTAAACAAACTGGATGAATTCATTCAATGGTTAAATGAAGCCATGGAAACTACAGAGAATTGGACTCCCCCTAAAGCAGAGATGGATGGCCTTAAACTGTATCTGGAGACACACTTGGTAGGCAAGATTGTGTTGTTCTTGCTGTCAATAATCAAAGGATTTTAATGTACTGCTTGTTTGTTTATAGGAAATATCAATTTTATTTATCAAAGATTACTATATGTCAATGAAACCAAGTTTTAATGGGTCACAGAAGCTGCAAATTTACAGACATTTCAAGTAATACCATGAAACCTAAATAATCTCTATTTCAAGCTACCTTTTCAAAGCTTTTTCTGGAAGGATAAGTGATTATTTAAAAATACCTTAGAAAATTTTATTATACCCTTGTTCTCTAAAGGAACAACTGAACGTTTTCCCTTTCTTAAAAAACAAATAAATGAAAAATGATTTTGATGACCATTCTAAGCTTTCTAGAATTCTTGTAAAATTAATGAACCTCTCATTATCAAGAGGGTCTACATTATCTGTTCTACACTGGGTTATTTTAATAAAATATTTAAAATGATGATCTCCATCATTTTTGCTGCTATGTGGGTTTTTCAGCATATAATTAATACAACTGTCACACTCATCCCTGTGCATAGAGAAAACCATGGAGGGGAAGTGGAAAACACTCAGATAAATTTGCTTCTGAATATGTTAAAAGCAAGAATTATAGACTGGGGGACATTCGATGAACCTCATGAGGTTTTTACTGAATGCTTCAAATGGCCGATATCAATTATGAAGGGGTGGAAACCAAGTAGTGGAGTGTGATAAAGCATGAAGAAAAAGCACGTGTCATAGGAAATGAAAATTCAAGCTGTAAGGATCTCATCTTTATTCCTTTCACTGATAGCATAAAATTGACAAAGGCAATGAACATGAATCCTTGGGTGCCCAACTGTGGGGTTGATTTTCTGCCCCTCTTACACACTCAGAATTTGGATTGAATAAACATTATGTGGGAGTCCTACATGTATGCGAGTTTGTAGGGTTCCACAACTGTTATTCTCTATGATGTTAAGTGAGAGAGAGAAGGGAGAGATGGAGAGGGAGAAAAGAGAGGAAAGAGAGAATGTTTCAGGTTTTGGTGTTTTGTGTTTTGCAGCATGTTTTATAACAGAAAAACAGCCTTAAAATCCTATTGCTGCATGCAAATAGCCTTGCAGATGATAAAGAATGACAAAACTGTGTGGTAGAGGATGAGTGTATTGCTTCCCTTTTTAGATACCTGAGTCGATGGTGTGTAAAAATGCCAGTGACCCTAACCACCTCTCTTGTACATGGGTTTTTACATACTGTCCTTAGTACTCATTTCCCTGTTGAGTAGAGTTTCAATTTTTTTTAAAAGAGGGCATTTCATAATAGCAAGATAAAGATATTCAGTGCTTTATAATGTAAATTGTATTAATTAGAATGTCAACTTTTCACTGGCATTGTTCTGACAGAAATTCTAATCTGTGTTTAAACAGGAGTATATGAACTTTATTTCACATTAAGTGTGCTGTCTTACTTTCTCTTGACTTAATATTTTATGGAAAACACACATTTAGTTTTTGAGGTCCCAGAGGGCACAAGGGCATTGAGAGCGCTTTAACTCTAGATTATTTATTGAAAGCCAGGCTAGGAGAGTATGAACCCAAGGTCCCTTTTCCCCTTTGGAGGTTGAATGATATGGCTCCTTTGTAACCAATGAGCACTCTCTTTCTCAAATACAGTATTACAGGGTTTCTTACTTGGCATCCTTATGTTAGCCTCTACTTCCTTCTAGCCCAATGCAGTTCACTAGAACTTTTTGCGATGATGGAATATTCTATATTGCCCTCTTCTATATGGGGGCCACTAACTACATGTGTCTGTTGTGCATTTGAAATGTGGCCAATGCAACTGCAGAAATGAATTTTTAATTTTACTTGACTTATATTTAAATTTAAATTGCCACAGTGACTGGTGACTTCTGTATTCTCTCTAGCCTTACAAATTGCAGAGCTTTTTACAGGTGACCATAACGAACTGCAATCTGTACCTGCCTCATAATGACATTTTCATCCCAAAATGTGAAAGTTATTCTCCAGTTTGCTGTGGGTCACCAGTATAAAGATCCACAGCAAAGAGTCCTTCTTAATGTATTTATTTCTTAAAAGAATCTTCTTGTTTCTGCCTAATGATCAACACTTTCTTGGATGAGTTTTCTCTACTATCCCATGTCTGATTATATTAATTGGAATAGAGATATCATAGAACATCTTCTTTATTTCTACCTTGCAAATAGTGAGGGACTTTGATCTCCAGACCTGTTGACTGGATGTTAAATTACAGTCTCCAATTTCACTTCCAAAATCATGAATAATAATGTCTAGCAGTTACTGAAGACCTAGTGTGTGTGGATTGCTACTGAATGATACTCTTAAAGTGCAATCAAGCATTATACTGAATGCTGTGTCTGTTACCTTAGATACAGCCTGTGACTCAAATATTTTTCAATCAAATTCTTAGTTTTTCTTTTTCCATATGAGTCTATATTGTCCTCCTGATCGCTATTGTCATTTTTTACTGTATTTCTTTACTGTCATGCTGACGGTAAAGTTATTCTTCTCAACCTTCCCATAAAAGAAAATGTATGAGTAAGCCTAGAGATTTGTATTCCTTAGTTAACCCTGCATAAACCATTATTGCTTTTTAATGAGGGGCCAAGTGGTACTTGCAAGATTTTATCCAGTAGTAGAGGTAGCTACACAAGTTTCTTTAGACATCTCTTTAGATTCTATATTTGACATTAAATCAACCGATGTGCAAGCCTCTAGGGTCTGAGTCTCCCCTGGTTTAATAATGTGTTAAACTAGCTGGTACCCTCCAATATTTATTATAAAGAAAAATATAAAAATCATACTCAAAGTTGTATGTTTATATTTTGATACTTAATTAAATTATTTTCCATGATGGTAACCAAGGGTTTTCACCAACACAAATCAATTAAAGCTTTATAATACCTTTATGAGAGATATGAAGGAGCTTTATTTTAACTGTAAGAAACACTGTGAAATTGCGATGATACATCAATGATTTTCCATGATAATTAATCATCTGCTTGCAACCTGGATGCTCCTTTCAAAAATACAATTCCTACCTTCTTAGAAAATGACATTTTCAGGAAAATGTCATTCTGGAAGGGTATTTTGCAAGTGTTGAACATTCCCTCTTCTTTGAAAACCACTTTAAGATAGAATTGTATAGGTATGTTCTCGGACAGACTTCTTTCTCCCTCTCCCTTCTCTCACCTCTGTCTTCTTCCTGCCACTTAAAAAAAAAAACAGCTTCATTGAGGTATAATTGACATATAATAAATTACACATTTTAAAGTATAGTGGTCCCTCTTATTCATGGTGGATATGTTCCAATCCGCACATTGGGTGTCTAAAACCTCGGATAGTATCACAACCATGTATACTGTGTCTTTGATCTGATAACCTGGATGATTACTAAGTGGCTAATGGGCAGGTGGCATATACAGCATGGAGATGCTGGACAGAGGGATGATTCATGCCCTAGGTGGGACACAGCAGGATGGTGCAAGATTTCACCACACAACTCAGAATGGCGTGTCATTTAAAACTTATGAGTTGTTTATGTCTGGAACTTTGCATTTATATTTTTAGACTATGGTTAACCACAGGTAACTGAAACTGAAGAAAGCAAAACCATGCATAAAAGGGACTACAATTTTATGAGTTTTGACAATCTGACAAATAAATATATATACCCATGAAACAATCACTGTAATTAAGATAGTGAACATACTTATCACCCAAAAGCTTCTTCATGACACTTTGTAATTCTTCCCTCCTACCCCTCCCTGGCCTCTACTCCATCCCTAACCAATCCTTGATCTGCTTTATGGCACTATTAGATTAGTTTGCATTTCCTAGGATTTTATATAAATTGAATAAAACAATGTGTACTTTTTTTGGTCTGTCTTCTTTCATTCAGCATACTTATTTTGGGATATGTTATGTTGTTTCATGTATCAATTATTAATTCCCTTGTATTGCTGAGAGGTAGTCTATTGTATGAATGTACCACAGTTTGTTCTATCCATTCACCTGTTGATGGACATTTAAGCTGTTTTCCCCACCACCTTTTTTATTGCCTCAAGAACCAGAGTTACTAAAAGCTGTATTTGAGTAGAAGCATAATAAATAGAAGCATAGTGAATAACTATCATAAATAGTTCTTGGATAACTAGTTTTTTTTTTCCATTTAAGACATTTTATAGTATCTTTAGAATTAGAATGCTTAAGAGTAAAGCAGCAGAGCAGGTCAGCACTTTCACCCTCTAGAGATTTTATTTCATATCCATTTGCTCCTGAAATGGTAACTCTGATTCTCCAAATTGTTATGCATACCTAAGTCATCAAATGTAATCATTCTCAGGCAGACAAACCAGCACTTCTTTTATCTGCAGCCAATCAGCATATTCAATAATAATAAGTGAAGTCAAACCAATACCAGACAGCTGTGCAAGATGTAGGAAAAACAATCAACCACAAGGGGCTGGCTTAAACTTAGGAAGTATAGTTGCGTAGGTAGCACGATGTTATTCTGGACACACATTAACCAACCACGTAGAAATAGCCTTGGAGAAACAAGATTCTTAATTCAATTTGATAAATGAGGAATGTGGGGGAAAATGGTGACTGTGAACCGTGTGTGTGTGTGTGTGTGTGTGTGTGTGTGTGTATAACACAACTGTAACTGTGTGTGCCAGGCTAGGAATTTAGGTGCTAGGAATACATGATGAATGAGCTTGGTTTCTTTCTTTAAGGGATTTTCAGTCTAAGAGAGGTAACGATAGATTATATGTAGTAATCTGTAGACCCATAAATGACTAATAATTTTAATCAGTAAACTTCTTGTAGGATAAGCAAAGTATTCTTAGGAGTACAGAGAAAAAATTTATTGGTTCTTTCTGGAGGTAGGGAACATTCAAAGAGGTAATTTGACATAGACCTCAAAGGCCATATATAATTTTGTTAGGGAAGGGAGGATGGGAGATGGGAGGAAACTTTATAAGC